GCCAGCCCTTTCTGTTTCTTTCTTCTTCCTAGCCATCCCTCCATCTTTCTTAACAAAACTACCTGTTCAGTTTTGTCATGTCACACATGTGGTTTCCTTTTATGCTTTCACATCCAAACTGATGAGGCTGCATTTAGGGAGCTGAAGAGCTGCATGCAGATGGGAGACGAGCAAGGTAATGGAACATGTCAAGGTACTTGAAAAAGCAATATGTAGGAATGACTGAGTTTCATCTTTTGTCTCTGGTACAGAGATTATCTGAAAATGGCTTTGAATAGAAACATAAGATTTCACAGTGAGAGGGATATAGTGCCTTTGTAACATCATTACCTAGCAACATAATACTGAAATGATACTTTTAACTCATTCTTATGTTAAAATGCAGAACTGTTATGGTCCCTTGCAGATTAAATACATTGCCAAACAGACTTTTTTTTTTTTTTTTTGGTCAGTACATTAGAAATCCCCTCCATACAGTATGCTTTGGGGACAAAAATAAAAAGTTGAAGTTAGAGCAGCATGTAAGAGAAGTGTCGAAATGAAGAATCCATGAATAGCCTGAACAGAATTTTCTATTCCTGGGGCTCGCAGCTGACCACAGAAAACACTTTTGAAGATCAGAGGAAGTGTTTATTACTGCAGAAGGAAATTTTTCTGTTATTAGTTTGTGCATTGGTGGATTGGGCTTTTCAGGGCTTTTTTAAGGATTCTTCGCTCATATTACAACATACACTTTCAACAAAGCCTTAGCTCCAGGAGAGGAATGTTGTCCTGGTTTCAGCTGGGATAGAGTTAATTTTCTTCTTAGAAAATTAAGCGAGCAGCTGTGTGGTGCATAGTTGCTGGCTGGGCTTAAACCACGACAAATGTGTACTTGGGGCATATGTAGATATTTGCCTAAATCGTAATCTTTCTTACAAGCCCTGCAAGATAAAAAATAAATGCATATAGGTTGCATGTACTATGATAATTTGATCCAGGTACTTTACAGGCCTTAACTTACTAGATACTCATGAGTAGCATTTTGTGAAGTAGGTAAATGGATATTGACCTTATTTTATTAAATAGAAGAAGGTGATGGCCTGAAAGACAAAAATGGCATAAAAGGAAAAAAAAATCTTGCCCCAAAATGCTTAGACAGCGAATTATTTGAAAAAGGCTTCATTACACATTATGAATCTCAGGGAGAGGAAAAATCACTTTTAGTGCTCTTTCCATTGAAGCTGACAGTAGTCTAGCAGGAGCAAAACAGGCTTGGCAAAGTTAGATCGGCTCCAAAACCTTCTGTTAGGTGTACTGAGTTTTACTGGTGGAATTACATTGTCACATTTGAATTGATCCCTCTTGCTTGACTGCATCAGGATTTTGTGATGCATCCCAGAACACAGATTGCCCACATTGCCACACACTGAATCCTCTTTTCATCACATTTGCAGCTTGTACATCTTTTCAGATACTTTTATTTGCCACTTTTCAAGTAAGTAGCTAAATTAGTATCTGAGCTGTAAATAATAGTAAAACCTCTCTAAAAACAGTCCTACTGTTAAAGTGAAGGCATATTTTAAAATTTTAGTGATTTTCCACTGTCTCTGCTGCTAACTTGTGAAAGAGGGAACAAGAAGTTCACATCTTCATTCATGTGCAGACTTAGGTAAAAAGCTTAATCCTTCAGTGGTAGATGTTAAATGCTTCCTTCGTGTTTCCCAGCACATTTAAGTCCTTCTATCAGCTTCTTGAATTGCATCCACAGCACCTTCTCCAAGCGCACAAAATCAAGGCAAAAGATGTAATATCTATAAAAACTATTTAACAGGGAGGTTTTCTGTGAAACATTTGGAGATCCATCGCATTGCACAGACCTATAATAAAATCTCTCCCAGTCACCCTCTGAAAGCACAGCACCCTCTAAAAGTATTGCAGAAGGTACCAGTTGCTCACCTATCCTCACCTACAACCAAGCAGTGAGCTAGAAGAGAAGGAGAATCCAGATGCATTAGCAATCCTCAGAAATCTCTGTGCTCCTGGCTTGGTACCCCTAATGATTTAGATACTGCATATCGAAACTGATTGCAAAATCCATACTGCAGATCGAAGCTCCTTAAGAGCTTCATGCCCATCCTTGCACGGAAGGGTAATTGTCAGTGCTCTGAGCTTCTGTCCTGGAAGTCTAAATTAAGAACAAGCCTCTGGGCTGCTGCTAGGCCTGCAGTAACTTCTCAGACTTTGTCCTCCCTCTGTAACCGGCTGACCTGAGCTTCCCCCAGAATACAAATGCACTGTACCATGCTGTCAAAACACATTACTGAATATCGGGCAGCACCACAGAGGAGACAGAAGCCAGCATCTTAGCAAAAGTAAAAGGTTGCTCTCCCATGCTTGCTGAGGAATTAAGGCAAACTAAATGCTTTGGCAGGACGGAAACATTCCCCCTTCCCCAAATGCTGCCCTGAGACTTGATCCAGAAAGTAATCAGGTCTCCCATGAGGAGAGGGAGTGAGATGTAAGGAGGCTCTGCTGGAGCATCACCCGCGTATCTAAGAAGTGCACCCAACACACTGCAGCGCATGCAGGCTTTCAGGAAGGGCAGAATTTTCTGTTTGCATCGGTCATGGTGGAGGCTGGGTGCAGGCACACACCAGGGAGGGAATTCGTGCAGGGAGTGAGCACTTGATACCCTGTTTCCCCTGTGATATTGTCTGAAGCATGTGGGCAATGCAAGGTGCTTAATGAATGCAGGAGCAGGTCACCCACAGTCTCCGTCTGCATTGGTAATGGCACTGGGAGCCACCCTGGGCTCTGGGGACACTTTTTTTTGGCTTTCCCTGTGCCACCTGCTGCCACTGCCCGCGGTGGCAACAGATGTGGGCAGGGCCCCAGCAGCTCCGGTGTCTCTAGGGTACCTGCTCCCAGGCACCACCGTGGTTATCTACGTGCTTCTGCGTACTGCTCTGTGGAGGAGCTGTGTGAGCTAGTGGGGTGATTTGATCCAGTGGTTAAACTGACTTTTTATAAGGACTGTTCCTAGATGCCTTTGGGAAAGGTGGGTGAGGAGATGGGACAGGGCACTGAGACTGCTGTTTGAATAATAAAAGAATAGCTCCTGGTTAAATCTGGGCTGATATTCCCTAGGGAGCTAGTACTGCCTTCAGTTACTGACATGATTTCTTTTTTGCTCACCTGTGAGTATCTCCCCCACCTCCCACATACTACTTGCACCATCAATTCCTTACAGCCTGCTCTGCTGCTTTCTTATAGGGGTGCATGCTGGATCTGAATCCATTAGTGCTTAATGAGCTAGATATTTAAAGCTTACCATTTAGGTTATACTCCTACGTTCTTCTAAATGAATACGCCTCAAATATTTAACAAATCAAAAGTAAGCTCATTTAAAATGCCACTAAGTTAAGCTGATTCTACTTGCTTGAACTAATATCGCCGCATAGTTCATCAGAATTAACCAAACCACGTGGACGTGGACGTTTCAGTAGAGAGACAGGCAGAATAATAAGGAAACCTCATTTCCATTTCTAAAAGTCCTAATTATCCTGACATTTAAGAGGGTACCAGTTTTCCCATAAAAATACAAATGAGGAAGTTTCTTTAATCAGAGCACAATATGCAAGGCCTTCTTAGAACAGTCCAAACTAATGCAGACTTGAATATTAAATGCCCATAAATACTGGAAAAAATGGTTTGTGAAAAATCCTGGGACTTTACCAGAGCTGATGCTGTGAAAGGCTGTGATTTCCCCATAACCCACCTAGTAGCTTCTGAACTCAATGCTTGTTCCGAAAGTTGGCAGAGAGACAGATGTCTCAAAGACCCTATGCTTTGACATATTTCTTGAAAACTGATGAGGCAATAAGGGAAGAGGCCAGCAGTCCTGAGGAGGAGGAGGAGAGGTTTATCATGTGGGCATGAAATACAAATCTCTAGGGAATAAAGCTGCATCAGTCCTGCTGCTTGTAAAATATGTTGGTTTTCATTTACAATAAATTATGCAAGCTGATACCAAAATCTGCCAGAAATCCATGTTTTGTTATTTTGTTAACAGTGATCTGCAATTTACTGTATGCTTTGTCATTATTTTGAGGAGACTTGGTTGTTTTGTTTGATGTAGAAGTGAGTTCACTTACTTACCTGTGCAGTTTGGAGATACAATTCAAGCACTGTTCTTTGGTCCATCGTACCAGTTTTATGCCATGATTTTATTGAAGACTCTATAATATGTGTTAAAAAGACTAGCTGAGTATATTTGAAACTGGCATGCCAAATACAATGTGGAGAGAACAGAGGGCTTTTTCTCCTTGGAGCAGGGAGGCCTGCCATTTTTGTGTAATGAAACAATTTGGAAACATTCATCAGGCGGCCTCCATGCTGGAAATGGACTTTGAACTCCTGCTCAATGGACTAGAGGCTGATGATAAATCATGGTAAACCATGGAAATTACATGATCTGTGGGGAGGGTTGGGGGGTGGGAGAACTGATAGCTGCATATCTTCTAGGGCAGATTATAACCTCCTAACCAGGTTATAAACCCCCTTCCCCTTTTATGCAGCTGAGAACAGTAGTCTCTCTCTTGTAAATGAGGTCTCCTACAATGGAGACTCCTGGCTGAGAGTCTGAATTAAGAACGCAGGAGGAAAGACAAAAGAGCGAAGCCTGTTTAATTAGGATGAAAGATACTCCCTCCCCCCTAAATCCTCCAATCCCAGTTTAGCAGAGCGTAGGGGTTGTTAGCACTGAAAGGTCTGACTTGCTGACTTGGGTAAATGCAATGCTCGGCAGATGAAGTCATGCATAATTAATTGTTCTTTGTTGCATTCTTTCCAATGTAATGACTTGTAGCATTCACGCTTATAATAATTGATGTTTTCTGTGCGCAGGAGCTTCAGGACAGCCAATTAAGGCAGTGGAGGTGGTAGCTGTGCAGCATCTTTAGCATCTGTGTGTTACCAACATGTGGGCTATAACTTTTTTTTTCTTTTCTTGTTTCTAGTGCCTAAAACAGTACATGCAGCTGGCAATTCAAGAAGGTTGTGGTTCTCCTATCACGTGTCCAGACATGGTATGCTTGAACCATGGGACCCTACAAGAAGCAGAGGTATCAACACTTTTTTCTCTTTTTTTTAACATAAACCCCCCAAACTTCTTTATCTACATAATAAATACGGTGATACACTTTTTCCTCCCTTTGATTACCTTTAATGAGCTTTTGGCAAGAAGCCTGACTGACAAGAGGAACTAGAAACAAACAGATGTTTTTCAAGAGTTTTGCTCCTTTTTCCCTCCCTCTGTGCCTTGAGGAAAGGCTTACTTGGCATCCAGACAACCTCTGAATTACCCGTGCAGGTGACTTAACTAGAATACCCTGTATCCCAGAATTGCTGAGAGCATGAATACTGTAAGTTAAATCAGATTTGATTTGACTGCAAACACTGAAATTCTTGTGCCTCTCTTAACTCAAGAGCAAGAACTCAAACTGATGGTAGGCAATGCCAGAATTTCTGCGTGCATGTTTATATTGGGCTGCAACAACCAATTTGCAGCCGAATATAAACATGCAAGACTCTGTATAGTTGTATGGAAAGAAAGGTATCTGCACAGCACTGGTGGAAATAGGTCTTAAGAGATATGAGAAGTGTCTTCATTCCCAAGGCAGAGATGGGAGAGATTGAGAGCTCAGAAGCTAAATGAGGCTTAGGCAAAGCTGTTTGCACGTCTAGCACCTGCACAATCCCTCAGAGTAACTGGAAGGTTCAGTTTGAAAGTTGGAGGTGGAGAAACTGGAGCGAAAATGTGCTCCTCAGACCTTCTTGCACCTCTTGGGACAATGGGGTTCAAGGGGGCTCTAGGTATCCCCTACCAGGCTGCCTGATGGTCTCCCAGCAATGCTCAAGCAGCCTCCTGCCTAACTTAGGGCCGGTGTAAAGTTTCTGAATTGGGCTTAGCGCCAAACCCATGACATGTGGAGGAGCTGTTGGCAGCGTGGCTGGAACCCTCATACGTGCCAGCTGTTCTGTGCATCTAGAAGGCCATGGAAAACTGTGAGCAAATCTGATGTTGCCCTGCAGCTATTCTTGCTTGCTTGCTTTGTGAGCCAGGTAGGCCCCTGCTGGGCCTGGGAACGCATGCAGGAAAAAAAACAAACCAGGAAAAAAAAGTGGCCAAGGGATTTTGGCTGGTTTTATGCATTCTCTCTGCCTTTGTTTTCAGGGACAAAATCAAGGAGAATCAGATCTCCACCCCTGAACTGAAGAAAAGCAACTTATCTTCTGGGTTCCCTTGAGTCCTATTTGTACAGATGACATAACTGTGGTACAAGTATATAATCCTATTCAAATGCAATCAGTGGCAATGCAATTCCCAATACCAAAAATGCCTTTTTCTCCAGAAAAAAATCAGGATCTCCTCTCCAGCATGCATTTGAAACGCCGTGCTTAGCTGAATCAAGGCCTGGGAGTCACAGCTATGTTTGTTACGGTGCGCAGGCATATGGTAGAGCTTTTCTTTGGCTGAATCCAGCTATTGTGGAAAGTAGCCAGCTGTTTCCCTTCCTTCTTTCTTCTGCATAGATACAGAGAGGGCGTAGCAATGTCCCTCCCACCCATTGCACCAGATTGGAGGCAACTAGTCTTTATTGGAAACGTGTTTTTTAAAGAAAGTTAACAAATGGTAGGAAGAATTCTGCTCTGTTAAGCTAGCGTTATGATGCTATAGGAATTAGAGAGATATATTTCCCCTTAGTAAAGCAGGAGGATGCTCCAGGGCATGTATTAATGGACCATTAGCTTAATCCTTGGGTGGTTTTGGGGCTGAAGGCAGAATGACTAAACAGCTCAAATGTGCATTAGCGTCCTGTGGATGAATGAATGTTCTGATGCTCCCTTTTGGCGATGTGCTTGAAACACAAACCTTCTGCTTGAAAAGCAAACAGGCCCCCAACTTGGTTAAAATGAACTGCTTATGTATTTTGCCAAATACCTATTTCTTTAAGAAAGAAACCCCCCCCAAAAACCCAGGAACAATAGAAAGAATAGATTGTCTCCGTTAATAATCTCAAAGATTAGTATGTAAACTACAGATTATGTATGAGCACTATGTATTCTTTTTTCTTCTCTATAAAGGCTGTTCCATGTGAAAATGTGGCCTTTAAAAGCTATTAAAAAACAGAACCTTATTCAGATGGTAGAGAATGTGCTTAAATATGGCTGTTGTTTGGCATGGAAGTACTATTTAGAATTGCAGTTTATTCATTACACACTCTGAAACTCCTGGTGTAAAAGTATGAGCCTTCTCACCTCTGGAGGAGGGTCTGGATGTTTGGTCTCTGGCTTCTGGCAGGAAAAGGTTCCTCACCAGGACAGTGCCATGAGGAATGACATGTTGCCTGTGTCAGGAGAAAAAAAAAAAATTGGTCTTTTTTTCTCCTCTGTGTTAGCATCCGGGGTTTGAAAAAGTGTATTTTTCATGTCATGTCCATTCCAGACTCTGCCGTGACTGGTGTTTACCAGGTACTGTTACAGTTTGGAGAAAAAACCAGCGGTTCAAACTGTCTTTGTCATGGACATGGTGTTAAATTGGTTCCTATGCTTTGGGCTAAATTATGTCTAATTATGTTAGCTAACGTGGTTGTTTTGTTTGCTTTTTAAATGCCATTTGCCCTAGCCTGCAGAAGGGAGATAAGGTGAACTTAGGCATAATTTGAAGTGAAGGAAAGCCTTTCCATTGACTTCAGTGAATTTTGGATTGAGGTCTGTTCAATAAGGAAACCGAACAATTAATAACAAAGCTTATAAGCAACTTATAGCACATTATAACTATGAAAGTTCCTCTACTTCCCTCTCTCAAGGTCAAGGTGTGTAACATTTCTACAGTGCTTTCCAGTGACCTATTTGTCTTCATTATGACTTAAGTCTGTTTTATCTTCTCGGTGAAGTTCTTTAGTGTTTATCTTGTTTGGTATTAAATTATGAGAGCCTTTTCACAGCTCTTGCCTTGATTCCGAGAGACATGCTTCTTGTGTTGCTTTTGGGGGATGGAGGGGGCCAAAACTGGTTAACATTTTAAACAGGGAATAGAATTGCTTCTTGTATGTCTCATGAAGAAATGAGCAAGTGTGAATAGTAGGAATGTGCCTCTCTAAAACAGTTGAATATTTCATCAGTGTTTGGGGAGTAAACTCCTTATTCATAGAGTATAGAGATGTTGGGAGTTAAGGCTTTACTTTTGGTGAGCTAGAACATTGTGTCTCACTGGACCTCAGAAGAAAATGTTGCAGGTTTTTATTCTTAAAAAACTTAAAATGAAAAGTCATTTGAACTAGAAAATTGTACTTTTCAGTACTTTGAAAATATGTTTTCCGAAACCTCTGTGTTTGGTTGTTTTTTGTTTTAACAAAATCTAGTTGAAACTGGTATGTTCCCCAGCAGTTTTTTTGTTTTGACAAATAGTGCATTCAGACAGAAGGAATTCTACTGGAATGCTTGAAATCAAGTGCAATCCTAGGTCATATCTTGACCTGTTACATCAAGATAGCAGCTGCTTGTAGTATAGCTGGTTTTAACTAGACATAAATGTGTGTTGGTGGTGGGAAGGCAATGGTTTTGGCTACAGACTCTTTTTCAAATAGCTGGTTACACAAAAAAAAAGGAAAGTTTAAAAGCAATCTCGTTAAACAAGATGTTTGTCCTTTCAAGCTCTAATAGTACAATAAACAAAGATAATTTGGAAGCAGAAGGTAGAAGGAACATCTTATGTTAATGCAGTTCTCTTTAACCATGCAGACTTCTTCTGTCTAGAATATTCCTGTGTCTCTTGAGAATTGGCTCCATTGATTTAATTGGACCAGTTAATATCCCTAATCTAAATAAAGGGTAGTTTATGGTGGTTTGAAATGGTTTTACTTGGTGCAAATCCAATCACCAGTGTAAGCTATGAATCAGGGTAAGTCTCAACTGCATACAGGGATTTCTAATGCAGTACTCACTTGGATAATGTCTAGGGGATTGTGCTTTGCTATTTCTGATTCCTGTGTTGTTTTGAAGCTTGTAACATTGATGCCAATGATCCATTTATACATAATCTGATTGGTTTAAAACCATGCATCAGGCAGTAAAGGAGACACTGATTTGGTCTCTCCTTTTGCCTCATAAGTCCGACGAGGAGAATTACCCTTTTGCATGCAGTGCACATTCTGCTTATTGTCCCTCTGTCTGTGTAAATCTGTGGTCTACACCAGTGCTAACCTGACCGAGGGCTGTCAGCGCTTTGTAAAGTGGTGCTGAAATAGGACAGCGACCCAGATCTTAGAATTCTTAATTGTGTTATATTCCGTACACAGCTGAACAAAAATCCCATTGGGAGTCACTTTAAAATACCAGATTTATTTTTAATTTGAAAATTGGTTTACATTTTGCTAGGGGTGATTGAAATGGCAAAATGAGGAGGAAGGTGAGAAAATGTTGGAGGTCAACCTGTCTTTTTCAGGGTCAAGATTAAAATTTTTGTTCTTCTTATTTACTTGTTTTTAAATAAATCCAAGGGGAGCAAATGCGAGAGTCTTAATTTGTTTTTTATTTGTCACTAAATAAGAGAAGAGCTCTTTAATGGAGCAAATGAATAATTTAATATTTCATGATGACTCTAGCAAGCATGGAAGCTGATGAAGAAAGGTGCGGGTGTGATTTCTAACAATAAAGAGATTGAACCCCCATACCCCTTTCAAAAGCAAACCGCAGCCCCAGTTAAGACTATTTTGCACTCCTTGCAAAACTAGACAGTGCCTCGGTGAGTGGGACTTTGGCAGAGGTGGGCAATGCAACCCTTTGCAAGTAGCAGTTGCTGCTGCCAGTGCAGGATCTGCCCTTGCTGCGTATCTGCTACAGCGAGAAAGGGAGAAGCACTTGTCCTGGTGAACTTTTCTCCCTCGGCATTGTCGAGGTTTGATTCATATGGGTGTGAAAGGAAGTAAGACCTATTCAGTTTTCTTGATTGCCTCCTTGCATCTCCCTTGAAAGCCTGAAAATAGGTGGAGTAGTGATTTTCCCTTTCCACTCTGGTAGCCAGTGTTTAAAAACAGGGGAGTTGTTTTTCCTTGGCTCCTGATTACTGCGCTGCCCGGGTTGCAAGGAACAGTCTGCCCCTGTGTAAACTGAACCCAATTATTTCATACCCTTTCATTTTCCTTCCTTTGCTCTTTTGTCTCACGTACTAATAGCACCCCTGCATGTTGGGCAGTCTTTTTGGACACTTGGCAAAGGTCCAGCTGGAGCCTTTTGTGGTAGTGAGCCTTCAAAATTTTGTTTTTTTTCCAGGGATATTTTTACTTCAGGTGAAAGCTGCTGTTCTTAGTGAGAGCTCTTACGTGTTCTTGTGCTCTATAACAAGAGTATTTTAACTGCAGGTGTTGCTTACACGGTATAGAAAACCAGAAAACTTACTTCAACTCCCAACAATCTGATAAGTCTCAAATCCACATCTTTTCAGGAGAGGAGAGTCCTTGCCTCTTATTTTTTTCATAGGTTTTTGTTGTAACCTTAACCCAGTATTAAAAAAAAAAAGCCCCAAACTTGTTCTGTAGCATTTCTTGCAGCATTGAATAATTTCATAGCCTAGAATAAGAAACATCTGCTTTCTGATGTGCTCGTGGTCTTTCTCTTTTGGTCCTTCACCATCTGCCGGGTTGCTGGTTTGCTTCCTCCCCAGATCTTCATCCTCTGTCCAGCCCAGGAGTGCGTGCGGTTGTGCAGGAGAGGAGGTGTTTGGGATGGGCTCCCGGGTGGGGCTGGAGAAGTTGTGTGAAGATGAACGTTTAGACTCTGATGCCAAGTAGGAGGAGATAAACACCTAATCCCCTTACCGTGCTTATGGCTGTTCTTCTCAATTAAGCGTAAATGAGATTAAAAGTTCACTGAGGAAAGGATTTGCTATTTTTATGGGGGACCTGATACTCACATTTCATTATTTTTTCACTTGAGTTTGCACGTACAGCTTTGATGTGGCACTGAATTCAGGCCGCAGCAGATTGTGCATTCCGTTCCTCATGCCTAAAGATACTAAATCTGTGAGGGGCTTCAGCTCAGCACCTCTCAGCTGACCTCCATGTGGGTGCTATCAGGAGCTGGTCTTTCAAAGCCTGGGGGAGTCAGTGGCAGAGGTGACGGGCTGCCTGTGCTGGTGCCCGGAGCTGCGTGCAGGGAGCGGGGAGCTGAGCTCTGAAGAGGCCATGTAGGAAGAAGAGTGAGGCTGGGTGAAACGGGTGGGGAAGGCTGGCATGGTAAGATAGGTTTTCAATAGGAGAAAGGGAAGCTTTCAGCACTGACTCTGCTTCCTATTGAAATCTGCAATGAAACTCCTAACTCTGCTCCCGCTGTAATCAAAAAGGCTGATTTTTAATACATGGGAAATTGTGGGCTCAATAGAGCTGCTCTTGAAAAACTGTTTGTTAAAAGCAAGACCAAGCACAGAAAGACCCCAGACAACTAAACAATTCACTCAAGTGGCTCTTACAGCATTGAGACTTGCTGTTTTAATTTAGTCGTAACGAAGGGAAAATTTCAAGTTGCTGCCAATGCTCACCCAGCTAGAGAAAAGCAGATGACTCTTTTTGTTTTCCAAACTCTATTTAGATTTGAAGCTGCCCTGGGGAGGAGTGGGCAATACTGAAATGATGTGTCTTGTGGGTTTTATATAGCTTTGTTGGTTGGCTTCATTCTTTCCTGAAGCTGCTGAACTTTACTCTTTTTTCCCCATTTGATAAAGTTATTATTTGTTTTCCAAGAGTGTTTCAACTGACTTCTGATCAACAGGTGAAGAGTTTCTCAGGAAGCTCTCTGTGTCTTGCAGTTGTATTAATGTAATATTGTTTAGCCAGGCAAATACTTTCATATTAAAAATGATTTACACCCTGAATTCAGAAACTGAATGAGAACAGTACTTTCACCCAGGGCTGGCTTACTAGACTAAGAATATGCTTTGTAAAGATTTGTTGGTGTTTCCCATTTTGATATTAAATCCTTTGATTTCTTCAACTATAAATCTTTTAAGCATCTTTGAACACTTAAATCTTGGCATCAGTTGGATTATTTTTTGTACAACATTGGTTTAGGTCAAATAAATGATCTAAACATCTGCTTTGAAATGCAATTTTAATTCCAATTGATTTAAGATATTGATAAAGCAATTTCATATTTTGTAATGTACAAATGGATATATTATTTTCTGGTTTTCCATCTATGAAAGCAAATGTATTCACAGCATGATATTGAATATATTTTTTTGCCTTTGTATTTCTTCTCACAAGTGCCATGTCACACAACCCAGAAGGATAGGAGGGGCCAGTGCCCACTTCACTGAGGGCAAAATGTTGCCTTTTACAGTAATCTGAAGGACTGTGGTGGGATACTGGATGTGAGGGTTGAGAGCCCTACACTTTGAAGCTGTCAGTTCTATACTGTCTCACAGTGCTTCAAATTACCAGGTCTTGTATTAGTATTAGTCTAGATTTATTTTCAGTAAAAGAGAAAGACGTTTTCAGTGCTGGTACAATATTACGAATGGATCAAATAAAGAGAATGATCTCAGATTCTGAGTCCAACAAACTGAAGTGTCTGTGAAGTTTCTTTTGAACCCCTCCTTACCCTGTATGCAGGTTTGCTTATTTAAAAATAAGGTACTTGGTTTTCTTACATAGACTGTTAATTGGAGATTAGAGCATTTAGCCTTTTAGGCTGCTAGTTTAATTATGGTAATATGTAAAATCTATCTGCAAAGCCTGTTTATCTATGCCAACTACATTTGTTAACTTCAGTCCAGCTCCCAGTGGGCTGGTGCATGTCTAAGGCAAATTCCAACTGCAATGGCATTAACTGTCTCAGCCCAAAACCCATGAAGTGAATAAAAAATGGAAACCAGACTAGCTTTTAAGTTCCTGAGAGCTAAGTGACCCCTGCCATTAAGAGCAGGAGACATGAATGAGGAACTGTTCATTTCAGTTGTATTCTTGTGCATGAACAACATGAGGCAGTCTCCAAGGCTGGCAAGCTGTCACCCTTCGTTACATTAAACCAACATGAAATAAAACTGAAAACCTGAAGTAAATACAGAATCCACAGAGAAGGCTTTCCTATACATGGTAAGAAAGACGTGGGCTGAACTACTGGGCTGTGTGGCTGAAATAGGACAGGTCAAGAACTACTTTACGTTTTGGAGAAGGAAGTCAAAGTACAGAGGAACGTGGTGGTGAAAGCAAGCAGGAGAAGAAGGTGGATTTGAGAGCCAGCTCAGGAGAGCAGGCATGTAGAACAAGGTGCTTATTAAGTTTTTTCAGGTCTGTGTTTCTAATGCTTTTTCTTTGTGTTTGTTTCTCATTTCAGATTGCCTGTTTGGTGCCTGTTGACCAGTTTCAGTTATACAAGAGGCTGAAGTTTGAACGAGGTGCGAACCTTTTGGTTTCTGTTACCTTCCTTTTTAAAGTGTCCGTGGAAGCAGCAGTATTACATACTGCAAAGACAAAGCCTGTTGGTTGAGTTAAGGAAGAGACAGAGAAGATGTCTTTGTTTTGGAATAGTTTAAGAGCAATCACTAGGTCTGACTGTGCTCCACAGACAAATTTGAAATTATTTCAGTGGAGCAGAATCAACAGAGTGGCATCTTACTGAAATGTCACGCTTTTACTCAAGCTTGTGGGCAGCACTCTCAGATTGCGTGCCTGAGGATCCATCATTCTTCCTGCAGCATGCTCATCCTGGGTCCTTGAGGTGGTGGTTGTACCAGTAGAACTAGACAAGGTACTAGAGGCTGGTGCAGGGCACACACAATCCTTTCATACATCCATAGGGATCTTCAGAACTTCTGGGGGGGGCAGACCCTGCAACGTGATGGGGATTTTTGCAAACATCCCTGCACGAGAGCTTTTCTTATGTAGAAGCCTCATGTGTGTTAATCTAGTATATTTTATTTTTTCCTGAGGGATAAGTGGACCCCTCATTCCTGAGTAAGGCCTATTAGTAAAGAAGTTTGAAACTGAAGGTTTTACTGGGGCCAAGCTTTCCTATGCCAGACATCAGCCTTCTGCTTCAGGAGATGGTTCCTTGCCAAGGCTGAAGAAGAAACTTGCTAGTCAGAAAGATGAGGTCCTACGCTGGTTTTAAAGACTGACACCAACTTGAAAGTCTCAGCTGGAAGTTGCAGCATTTTTCAAAGAACTCACTCCGTGGTAGCTTGCAGGGTAGTGCATCTGGGACTGATATGCCCTGACTCTGCCTGTTTTTAAACTTTCCTTGAAAGACTGTATTTGTGTTCTTGCTTTGCGTGCATGCTTAGATGCAGATGGATTGGGAATGTGTATGAAAATGCAGAGGTTCATAAAAGTTAGGCACAGTAATGCACTTGAAAAGACGGTCAGATAGAAGAATATATGTTTTTTTACAGAATCTCATCTGGCACGAGTCACGGTGAATGACCACAAAGTATAAAAACTGCAAAATGAGTATACCCAAGTATGCCCCAGAGTTCATGGGCAGATGCAGATTGTAGCTGTGATTTGCAGGCACTCACGCCAAAAAGGAAAAAACATCCCAAACCCTGCTTTCATTGTTTATTTCTCCTATTTTACCTTCTTCTCGTTTACCCTTAATTCCTTAGGAACTCCCTCCAGTTCATAAGCCAAGCAGTGGCTTGTCTACAGCCCTAGGCAGTGGAAATCAGAGCTTCTTAAATCACCGTATTAAAGGGTTAAGAAAGAGAGACATTCTTGCAATACATTAATCTGTTTTATGTAGAACCTTTTTTTAACTGAAGACTGTGAAACTAATGTTTTCCTGGTATCTCCTCCTCTATTACTAGCCAAAGCTGAACTCATGATCTTTTGTCCAACTCCCTGTTACATCTCGGGTTTTTTTTCACTGCTTCCCACGCGCAGAAGCCTGAAACTTGTCTATTTTTTAAATCCTCCTTCCCTTTTCTTTCTTGACAAATCTTCCTCCACCACCACTACCTCTCTTCATGATGTTTCTAAGATCTGTCCTTTCTCCTTTATGATAAGTAAAACTGGCATCCAAGTGGCTGGCTTAAACCCTAGCCTTTTTGCCTTGCCTGTTGGCCCCAGCAATAAATCCAGCTTACTGATGCCTGGGAACAATGTTTCCTGCTAACTCAAGCCCTGACCTAGACACCAGCACTAATCCCAACCCCGGCCAAGACCTTTTGTCTATCCTGGGTTTAGCACTGCCCCCAAGGCTGACCTTTTTGGACTCATCAGCTGGACCTGGCTTATTAGCTTCTGCTGGCCTGAAGCTCTGTTCTCAGACCTGACCCGAGCCTGGCAATGCCTGCCTGCCCCGACCAACGCCAACACTGGTCTGACGATCTTTTTCTGAAACTAGCAATAAACTTTCCTGATGGCACCTGCTGGGGCTGAATTCTGACCTGGAATCTGCCCAGGGTCTCCTGGCAGCTGAGATCTGATGTGTGCCGTGTGCCTGTGTCAGCCATAGTGCAGCCCAGCCCTTTTCAAAGCTGGCACTACGCAAAGCCCAGGCTGCTACTGCCTAACTCTTCCCTCTCCCATGGGCCCTCGCCAACCACAAACGCTGTGTGCCTCCCGATCCATTCTTACACCAGCCCTAAGCCAAACTCAGCCGTGGCTCCTTGACCTAGCAGCTACAAGCACGTGAGCTCCAGTCAGGCTGCAGCCCGGTGCGCAGGGCTGATACCAGCCAGAAGCTGAGCCAGGTACGCCTCCTGAGTGCCACGGATTCGTTTGCTTTACTTAATGAGAGAGAACATTTTGAAGGACTGAAATACAGCATAATAGTAGCATTGCTCTTATCAGTCTTTCAGGGTTCATTTAGAAATGAAGAAAACCTTTATATGTGAAATATTTTGAGCTCCCTTTTCCTCTTATTTTTCAGGTTTTTTTCTTCAGACCAGGTGCTGGGGAAGAGCTAACTTGGGCTCGCTAGGGTTTTTTGTTGCTGGGGAGAAGGAGTCAGCGTGTTAAAGGGAATAAATAGAGAGCACTGAATTTTCCAGACCTTGCTGTACCATCTTCTTTTCCATGCTTGCAAATGCAATAAGCCAAATTCTGATTCTTAAAATAGGCAGGTACGAAGGTGTCCTTCGTGACTTTTGCTCTGATCAACAGAGCCCTTTATTCAAACCCTTCAGCTTCCTATATTTAGACCCTTCTTCTCTCAGCTTTATTCTGTTGAGATATGGGCTCTTGCTTCAGCACCCCCTTTGCTTTACTAGAAACGCTAGAAATAAATAACCAGCTTCTTGAGTAAATTGAAAGACTTGCTCTTGCTCTGTAGTCTTTGTTTACCAGTCTCCAAGTGATTGGTAAAGCCAAACGCTTCTCATCCTTCCAGACATTTTCCATCACGAAATGAATTTTGAGGAAAATTTTGAAGACCTGAAGGACTTATACATCCAAAAGTGATTTTCCCCATCCCCCATCTGTGCTAGGTATTTTAATAAAATAGTTTCCTCTCCATTTCCTTGTTTAAAAAAAAAATGGACAAATAATATTGGGTGAAAAATAGTGAGAAGTAATTGACATACAATTGTATATCTGTAGACACTTGCGTAGTTTAATAAGGAATGCGCTGAAAATATTCTATCCTCATGTGGTTGTTGTGTTCTTAGAATGCAAATGTTTTCAAGCTTAAAACCAGGCTTTCTTATATCTCTGTAACTCCTCTGCCTCCAGTCAGGACCTAGCCACAGAGCTTCTGTGCAGCATATCTAAATAGAAGAAAAAGGAATTCCTCTATGTCTGTTTCGGATAGGGTTGATGTGGCCATCAGAAGTAATGAAATAGAGGAATAGGATGTGGTTAGGTCATATGCATTATATTTCTATTTCTGTGACAATTGCCCAATAGGCTGAGTGGTAGATGATGAGAACCTCCGTTTTATGCCTGACCAAAAAGTAGTCCATTTTAAAAGGAGGTGTTCCTAATATTCTGCAAAAGGCATAGGCTCATCCTTTCAGTGAGTTCCTCTCCTGAGCCAGAAATTCTCTTTTCTTCAGGGTGCTGCATTTCCTCTGTCTGCCTCCCACATCTCACCTGCATGCTGGCACATCTTGTGAAAAATGCCGGCACTGGCACTGTTTGGGAAGGCTTTCCTCCTGAGAGTGGAGCGAGAGTGGCTGAACTGGCTGTGGGGAAGCAGGAGAAAGGCTCGGGAGAAAAATGGCCCTAATCAGAAGATGGAGCAGCTTGTCAGAGCAGTATGATGGCCTCTTTCCTTTTTTTGGCTGCTCCTTTTTGTTTTTTTCTGGTTTCACTTGTACTCCATGGTAAACCAGACAGTATGAGACAGCACGGATTGCAAAACACCATCTGTAGGTTCTTTGTAAAATGGAGGAAATGGGAGAGAAGGGAGTTTCATCTCATGCATTACACCTTGCTGGAACAAATTTATAAAAATCAGTAATATTTACAACCCGAGTCCCCGACTCCCAGTGATGTCAAAACCAGATATCCTGTCTTTCATCCAAAAGCAGGATAGGAGAATTTAGGTTTCCAAAGTTGAGTATGTTAAGCAGGTATCTGCAGGAAACTGCACTTTATCTCATTTTAACTGCTGTTTATCAACAGAAAGTATACAGAACCTACTGTGAAGTGTGAAGACTTAAATGCAATAGCCCGTACTAGGCCATGGTCTTACCCAGTTCAGAGTTTCTTTTAAGAGACACCACGGGAAGCTACAGAAATAATGATTTCTCAGTCAGGACACTAGTTTTTAAAAGTATATAAAAATGTAAAATGGCTTGTACTGCCCACCCATGTCTTTCTCTTCGCCCCACAAATGAAGCTGCAAACTATTTTGTTCTGGCTTTCATTCAGTAGAAAGCAAAATGTTTGTTTGTTTTGGGGAGCAAAGGAAGCATGTGTAAGAGAATAAGAGGAAGGAAGGCAACTAGATTCATGAAGTGGCTGGAGGTAGGTGGTACAGGTGTTTTGCTGGCACTGCCTAAATTATAGACGACAGCCTTTGCCATGGATGTAGAAATCCTCCACTCTGACACAGACTTAAAAATTACCTGTAGTCAGAGCATTGTGTACCTGCATGTCCTGCAGCCAGCAAGGGAGGATGGTCATCCTTAGGTGGTTCCTCACTGTTAAATGTCCTGGACAAACGGGAGGGAGGGATGGCTTTAAAGAAACTGGAACTTTTCAAGGTGAACAGAGAGGTTTGGCATACTGGAAAAGAACTGAGTTTCTAGTGCACATTAGGTTATGAAGTTTGTGGTGTGTCCTTCTCCCCAGGTGTGTGTGCATGTGTATCTAAATGCTTGAGAGCTTGGGGGAGAGTTTTACTTCTTTGAACACACTTCTAGTTGTACAGTTTCTAGTTTCTGGATATCTGGACACTGAACTGATACCGCTGTTTTTCATGCTGACTGGAGCATCTGCTAGATATCCATCCACCAGCCCCCTTCGCTGCGGGCTACCAGCAACCTCCTGCAGAGGAGCAGTGCGGGCAGCGGGGTGTGCGTGGGAGGAAGTGCCTTCAACTATTTCAGCAAAATTTTCCAGAGAACATATATCTGGGGTCCTTGTGCAGCCTTTTGTTTCAAGTGGGACAGTATTTTATCTGCTGGAGGTACGGAAGAATTTTGGAATGGCTTTTGACACCTCATGGTCAGGGATTTCTGCCTGGTCCTGAGACATCCCCTCCATCTATTTATTTTCAGTGGTGGTACCAGAGAGCTCCCAGGGAAGGAGGAGATGCAGGTAGCTCCTGCAGGCACGACAACCCTTTTCCAGGGAGGCTCTGCAGGGTGAGAGTGTTTGGCTGCACCCCATGGACTTGAGCAGTATAAAGTGCGCACACATTGGGCACCCCTAACAGTGAACGTGTTTCAGCTGGGTTTCTGTTGCAAGCCCAAGTTCATTGAATAAAGGTTGGGGAGTGAGAGGAAGAATCAACTTTTATCATTCACTGCCTTGTGGTGATGTCTGTAACTCAGTGTCTCCAGCCTAAATCTTGCCTTGACTATTGTGGTAATCTGATACCTTACAAATAGTGATCATGTAATAAAGTGAATATTAATTGGAGTTTGTAGATAGAGGGGAGAAAATAAGACACCGAAAGTGACTTGACGTTAATTTAATGACAGTCCTTCTGCTATTTACATGACACATACTGCGTGGTTTGGACACATGAAAGACATAGAATGGCCTAATATCACAAAAGACACATGCTTCTCCGGAAGCAGCAGTAACGTTTGTCTTGTACCTCCCTATAAAGGCAAAGAATATGTCCCATGTCGTGTATCGCCAGTCTTGCGATGCTGCTAGCACAGCTGCCTTAGCAGAGCATAACTGCAGACCTGCCAAAAGAAGAGGAGCAAGCTTGAATGCCCATGGGCATGGGCACAGAGGTCTTCACCTTCCCCACCCGCATGCAGAACTGGATCTTACGTACCTAGACACGTGCTGCTGGAATGAGAAGGGGACTGTATAAACGGTTTTATTTCTCTCTCTGTTACATTTCAGAAGTCCACTTGGACCCTCAGAGGACGTGGTGCCCTGCAGCCGACTGCCAAACGGTGTGCCATATTGCACTGAGCGAGTCAGGAGCGCCGGTGCCGGTGGAGTGCCCGGCTTGCCACCTGACGTTCTGCTCCTCTTGCAAGGAGGCATGGCACCCGCAGCGCCTGTGCCAGGAAAACCAAACTACTCCAATACCAACTGAGCAGGGGTAAGAGGGGAACCCACAGAGGCCATGTGGTCTTTTGATTCTTTTTGGCACGGAGTGCTACCTCTGTGCCTCACATCAGTTTCATGGAATGGCTTCCTTCTAGCTCCTTAGGTGCATCTCTGAGACTGTCCATCTCTCCTGGTGTTTCCTAAATATAGTTCCAGTCTAATTATTATTTTAAGTGATGCATTTTATTTTTTAATACTTCATATTATTTGTGTACTCATCAAGTTTGGGTTGCCACTGACACTTCTGAAAGGTGAAGCCCTCCAGGGCTTTCAGTCTGCCTGAAGGCTTTGTTTGCGTGCTAGAATTATGACTTTTGCCTATACAAAAAAATCCAGTCACTAATATTCCAGGATCCAAACTTTGCTTATACTGTGATTAAGAAATCACCCCTGCTTAATATTTATAAAATCTCTGCATACACAAATCTTAACTCTTACACAGAGTGGGGGTAAAATGCCTCATTTGATGTGAGAAATCTGATATATGCTTATTTTGCATAGGTGTAAATGACCGACAGATAAGGTTACATAAGGCATTAATCTGCAAAAAGAAAACACTTTTGTGTTTAAATTATATAATGTCTGTGGCTGTCCGTCTTTGTTTTCAGTCGTGTATTCAAAGTTTTCTATCATTTTTTTGCAAGAAATGAAAGGCTTACTTAAAAACTAAGCATTCTGGTTGCTACAGACTTCATCAAATAGGAGTTGCCAAAGAGCTCTTGCCATAATTTTTCTTCTCCAGGTTTGATCTTTGGCTTTAGTGGAGTTTAAGGCTATTTTGCTTGGGCAGGGACAGCGCTATAAGATGCATAATCCAGTTACCACGTTAAATGAATTGTGCAGGCTGTCTTACAAAGTGCTCATTTTTAGTGCTATAGGTGATACGTTTGTAAGCAGAGTGAGTGTTGGTTTTATGTAGCATAAAAGACTAAGAGAATGGAGTTTCACTTTTACGTGATAAAAATAATCTTACATCTAGTAGTGAGTATACTTCAGTGTATTGTACTGCATATAGGCTTCACATGTTGAGTGCATTAAGACAACAACATTAGATGCTCTGGAAAATAAGGACAGTACACATTAGGCAGTGGAGCTGAATATCAACAGTATTACATTCACATTTCACTTTAGTATTTCCCTTCTCTTCTAGATCACTTATTGGAACGGAGACAGAGGCACCAATTAAGCAGTGCCCAGTTTGTCGGATCTATATTGAGCGAAACGAGGGCTGTGCTCAGATGATGTGCAAGAACTGCAAGCACACGTTTTGCTGGTACTGTCTACAGAACTTGGATGTAAGTGCTGCAGAAAAAAACAGCTAGATAGGGGGTAATGGGCTTGGGGTTAGTCTGAGGCCCTGTACAAGCTCTCCACCAACCCGTTGATGTCCTAGTGTATGGCTTGGCTCAATTCAGCTTCTAACTTCATTTCTGTCTTCTCAGTCACCCAGTGCTTTTATTTATTCTTTTTCTATAAAGGTTTATAGCAATGTCTGTGGGTCCCATGCTAGTTCTTTGAGGGAAATGGGACAGACTGGTTGCTTTCCAGAGGTCTATTCCAGCACTACCTTTCTCCGATTCCCTCTTCCAGTGCAGTAAAAATAGTTTGGTTGAGAGCCAAGAAGTAAAGTGTCTTCCACCTGCTCCAACTGCAAGGGTCAGCCTGTCCAAAAAATGGTATGGTACTGGGTGAAGGGGGTTGTTTCACGGGCAGGTGCGTTAAGAGCTCGTATAGACCAGGTCTCCTTTACTAGTCCATGTCTAGTGCTGTGTTTGCTGAAGAGAATGATTGGTTAGTAGGCTTGAGGATAAAAATGTTGGATTATGAACATGGATTATGAAGTGCAAGTTGCTAGTTGTTTCTCAGGTGATACCAACGCGTCTCAACTTGTATGGACTTCAAGCTTCCTAGCAGGATTAAGAGTACAGGAAGTAATGTGCTCGTGTATATGACAGCGTCCCTTTTTGGCACAGTCAGCAGTAACAACTGTGGGAGTGTGAAAAGGACTTTACCAGCACTTGAAATAAAATGTTAGATGCTGCATGGTTTTTCTTCTCTTCTTTTTGTACACCACAGCCAGCAAACAACGAGACTTCCTCATGCTTCATCCTTCCTTTTCTCAGCATGCTAAACAGGTTTCGCTTAGCGTTATGTCCCATTTCTGTGTGTGTGAACGTGCGTTTTCAACATGAGTCTTACGGCTTGCCTCAGAGTACATACAGTACACAACGATTGCTTAACACCATGCTGAACTGGAAGTCTGTCAGATTCTCATGGACTCTGCAGACGTGCCCTTACCAAGTTTTCGTCAGTTCAAAGGAGAAAGAAAAATGACACTGTAATTGTGTGATTCAAATGTAGTTTTTCGAAATGTGCAGGGTTACGGGAGCTCCAGGTGTAGGTGAAGGTAATACCTGCAGAGCCGAAGAGCAGGGCTGAAAAATGAAAGAGGAAGCAGCGTCAGGTTACAGCGCAGCCGGCTAGAGGAGGGTAATGCAGGGCATTAGTCACCTTCTGAACTAAAAATGGATAGTTTAATAAATATTACTGGGAAAAGAGAAAGGAGACAGGGATTTCCTACTTTCTAAATTTTCCTGTTATGTCTAGGAAGAAAATGACTCTAAAGTGCAGGGGCGGCAGGAGAAGAGGAAGTAGAAGTACCTCAGGATTGCTAGCTTTCAGAAATATCTCTTGTTTACAGGCCCCTTTATCATCACCAAATTATAGACTAGGTACTTGTGCAATAGGTGCAATGCATATGCTTATGCTTTTTAAAAGTGGGGGAGGAAAGACGCTATACAATAGCTCAGGTTCCAAACACACTACACTTTTTGAAACTGCAAGAAGTTTCTCTAGATAGTTATTTGGAAGACAGGTGAACTTGTCTGCCAGCAGCTGGTAATTTTAAAGCAGTGTCAGGAAAGTTGTATTTCCAGTCCCGTCCTGAACCTCTCCCTGCAGTACTGTAACCTGCTCTTACAGCTTCTCCTTTTGTTTTTCAGAACGATATCTTCTTAAGACATTACGACAGAGGCCCTTGCAGAAACAAGCTGGGCCACTCGCGGGCTTCAGTGATGTGGAACAGAACACAGGTGTGTTCCTAGTCAGCTGAGCAGAACTCTCACGCATGCATCAAGCAAAGAGATTTTACCCTTTAGTGAAGGACCGAGATGATTATTTTCATGTTTTCATCTATTTTTGGTGACCTCTGCTGTGCTTATGCATGCACACGTGTATTTTATTTTCCACTTATCTAAATGCATATTTTTCCCCACCATGTCTTTCAGGTTGTGGGGATCCTGGTTGGACTAGGTATCATAGCATTGGTGACCTCTCCCTTGCTGCTCGTGGCATCTCCATGCATTATCTGCTGCATTTGCAAATCTTGCCGAAGCAAAAAGAAAAAACACAGCCCGCCAACAACGTAAAACTCTGTGTCTGAGCCTCCATCTGTACAGCATATGTATGTGAGAAAGCACAATGGTTGTATTTTGGTGCCATACTTACCAAATAATACTCCCTTTTTTGCCAATTCTTGGGATAAGTGCCTATTCTTTACAGGCTACTCTATCACTAACAAGTCCCAGTGTGGGAAAAGTTTAGATAATTGTGCAGTACATATGGTATAGGTTTTTGCTTTCTAAAAGGAAAACAGGACACCATTCAGTAGTTCATACCCTTAAATATGAGCCACCTTTTGAGACTGCTAGAACTTTACTATCTTCCGTCAGCTGCACATGACTTGATCCTGCACTGTTACTCTGCCTTTGCAGACCCAGTTGTTACTGTCATGCTTTCTGCTGGTTCTCGGTGACGCTCAGATTTCTCAGAAAGTTTTGGGTCTTCTATAAAAGGGGGAGAGGGAAAAGCCTGATGAAGTTCTTCTGCCTGCTAGCTTGTGTCCTGTTAAAGGTAACAAACTGTTAAGAAAATATATTTGACAGTTTCCTGTCAACTGGCTGCCATGGCATTTCTTTCAGCATTGAAATCAATTTGATTTATACTATTGATCTCAATTATAAAAGTAAGACCAACAAAATTATTTCTAACCAAGATCGGGCTCTCTTTTGAGAGACTGGACTACCCTGAGAAATACGTCATGTTTGATCTGAAAAAATAACAGCTCTACCTTGAAATAGTAGTAGTGAGCATATTTCCCTGCCATTGGGCATGCCTTTTGTCAGTAACATGGGTGCAGCCAACTCACCATGAAGCTAATATTTTAATAAAGGCCATGATACAGTTCCTATTTTGTGTGCAGTATTTGGGATCTTGGTTGTATATAGAGTGGCCGCGTGGATGTACCAATTTATTTTATAGGCAGTCAGTATATTTTTTCAACAGTTTACATGGGGTGGCAGCAAGAACCCTATTAAAAAGTTACTCAGACCAGGCTGAGCCAAACCCTCCTTTAAAATCTTACAGACCTGCTGAAGTGACTACTTGAGAAATGCTGTGTAAATGTAAGCTCCATCCATTGGTGGGTATTTCTTCTGTCCTGCTCAAGGTTAACAAACTCTGTTACTGATAATTTTTAGTTACTCTAAATCTGAAAGGCTGTCATTTAATGAACCCTTCATTTTCATTTGGTGCCTCACCACCAAACTGATTCAGACCCTGGTATCAGTTACACCTGTATTAGTTCACTGAAACCTCACTGAAGAGCTGGAGTTACTCCAGGCTCACTCAGGAGTAGCTGAGATCAGACTCTGCTCCCTGGAGTTTGTTTCCTTAAGGCTGGTGCTCCTCACAACCCTGGCCGGTGGTGGCTTTTGTTCTGGACTCCCGTCTGTGCATTTTATATCTGTGGGAATCGATACGAGTTTGCACTATATAATCCGTTGTAATTCCAAACCCCTTTCGGTAAGGGCTGCAAGGTTTAAATGAGATGCTCAGCCTGAGCGCTGTGTCAGGCTCACCCTCCGCCGGTCTGCCCTCCTCCGTGTCTTTGCTGTTGCGTTTGGCCGAGCCTCAGGAACTTGGCCTTCTTGGCAGCCGTAATTGTGACCTTTTTGTTTAACTTTGCTCTCTGGAAACTGTAACAGAAGCGGTAGATGTTCTTACTTTAAGAAGGTGTAGTCTGTTGAGCAGACTAGCAGGGACAAAAGCCTTAAATGATATTGTCTGTGTTACTTTTTAATTGATTTCTTTTATAAATACTGTCTGACTTTGCTACCAGCTGTGACTGGAGGGCAGGCAGTGCTCGCCAATGTGAAAAGCTGTATTTATTCTCCATCCACAGCTTTGAAGGGAAGCAGAAAGGTAGTCAGTACATTGTAAATAGAGTGCAATGCAGGGAACTGCCATTTATAATAAATAGAGAATGTTTTCTATATGTGTTTTCTTTAAGAGCGGTAATGGTAGTGCTTGGGGGTACTTGTGACAGATTAAAGTGTCCAGCTCTTGGCTTTCCACTATTTTTCTACCTATGTTTTTATGGCACTACTGTCATTTCCATTTTATTTATGAACTTGCAGTTGAGAGTCTTATTTAACAAAGCCTCAAGGACAAAGACGTAGGAGCTGTACAGTCTTTTTAACCATAACCAGCGTTGCAATGTACCAATATCCTTTGCACATTAAAATTTGTAGGGTTTTCATGTTTTGTGGTCTTACCTATGTCCAGTGCACCCTCTGCCAGTCTGGTTTCTTTCCTTGTCCTCTCCCTCTTTC